TCACAGAAACATTGGATTCCGATGAATTGGAAACTCGAGACTCTAACTCTTCATCTAGTGAAGAATTAAAAAAAAAAATTAACTATGTACTGTAAATCATGAAAGTATGAAAAATCGAATAAAAGAGCTTGAAAAGGCATTATTATCTAGCATTCAATCGAATTTAGAAATGATAGGATACTATAATAGTTTACTTGAATGATATGAAGCTAAAGCCTAAGAGCATGACCAGATTCTCTAATTTTTTCGATATCGCTATTGTTTTTCTTAAACAAATCCAAGACATCTTCAGAGGATTCAGTAGGTGAAATAATATCTTTTTTTGTCTTAGGTATTTTATTTATATTTTCCGATAAATTCTTAGCATTGGAGATATGAATAGACTTAGACTTGGATTTTTTAACTTCTCCAACTTTTTTTAGTTGGATTTATTGGCAAATTTATCTGTGGATCTGTTGGTGGATATAATGTTATATCTTTAGGATCTATTTGTGGATGAACTCCTCTCCAAATTTGATATACCCGCCGGGATGAAATTTTATATTTCTTAGCCATAACTTCTGATGCTCGCTTCATTGAATTTTTAGCTTTAATAATATCCTGAAATTCTTCAGCAGATAAGGGGGTTGCATCTGAACGCAAATATCGAAGCATTTTTTACAAATAGACAGAAAAAAATCATTGAAAATTATCGATATATTTTCGGTATATTTTCGGTAGATTCGATACATTCGATAGGTGTATCGATATATTTTCGGTATATTTTCGGTAGATTCGGTACATTCGATAGGTGTATCGATATATTTTCAGTTCATTCGATTATTCGTTATATTCGGTATATCGATAAATTTTCGGTAGATTTTATTTATTAATTTTTTACTATACTAACAATTAAGCTGAAAAAACCCATGCACAAAGTATATAGCTTGAAAGATATTGAGAATAAAGGTTATCGGGTTGGTAGCATCCGTGAATCAGAACTTGAAAAAGCATTGCGTAATAATATTAAGTCTAGTTCTGGCCTTGCTAATGAATATATGGATCTACAGGATGAATACTCAAAGCGAGTGAAAGATTTTGATCAGGAGAGAAAGAAGTGGAATCAGGATGCATTACGTTATGGTACCGAGTTTCAGGAATTACAAACTCGCACTTCACAAATTATTAATGAGAATAAACAACTTCAAAGCGAGAATACTAACCTTACATCCCAACTTACCCAATCACAAATTTCCCATACCGAGTATAAAGCCAAGTATGATACTCAATTGGAAAAAATAAAATCGCTTCAAGCTATAAACAAGATATTAAAATATAAGTTGGAATCGGCTCAGAAGGATGTAATTTCGATCCATAAAAATTCATCAAAAAAAGAAACTGAGATACTATTTCTCAAGTCTGAATTGGGACATATAAAGAATGAATTAGCTTCAACGGTTAGTGAATTAGAACGTCTAAAATCAGATGCTATATCGAAACCTGTAATTGATGAGGATGTCGAAAAAAATACAATCAAGTCTAGTAGGGGTGAAATCCTATTGCAAAGCAATAATATATCTGTGGATAGTGATCTCAGTAAATATTTTATACGTAGAAAAAATATGGATCCAATAGCGGAGCTAGTGCCAAGCCACATAGAAAAAATCGATGGTAATATCTCGTCACATACCAGACCTTTAGGCGCCTCAAAGAGGCATGATGATATTATTGAACCACCAAAAATTGATACTGAGATCAATTCCAAAGTAAGTGAGTCACGAAGTGAGAATGCTAATACATCTGAAATTAACGATAAAGATATCATATCTCATTCTCAGATTCAAGATATTGCAATAGGAGGAGCTGAGGAATTAGGAGGTAGTAATGCTTTAGTTATTTTTACCTTAGTAATAATATTAATTATATGGTATATATACAAGCAAATTTTTCGTTCAACCCCACCTTCTTATTCTTTGAACGAACAAAGTGAAGTGAATTATAGGGAGAAAGAAATTTTTTATCCAGTCTATAAAAATCAAAGTTATGAATTCCCAATCCGTTATACAAAAGAACCGAAAGAAAGAATTACCACCTATGAAACTTTACCTTATGGATATGGACGAAGCTAATAAACATGAATCATCACGAAATGTTGGACATCCAGCAATGGCATGGCCTTTCTCTAAGCTAGTTATTGGGAAGAGTGGATCTGGTAAGACTAATATCTTGACGAATCTTTTTCTTGGTAATAAAGCTGAATGTATATATAAAGGTAAAAAAGGTGGTAGTAGATATATTTCTTGCGATGATTTAATCGTATGTGGATATCATCCTGATGAGCCAAAATGGGCATTTGTAAGGTATATGTATGGCATAATTTCAAAAGATCCAAAAGCGCCTTATTATGAGAATATTAGATTCAGATACATATCACCGGAAAAAATTCCTGGTGTAAAATCATTTTCACCTGAGAGAAGTACTGTAATTATTTTTGAGGATTTATGTGTCGCTCCAGAAACAATACAAAATCGAATTATTCCATTCTTTACGCATGGGCGTCATCGAAATATAAGTCCAATCTATGTAACGCAAAAATATCACAAAGTTCCAATTATTATTCGTGAAAATATCTCCCATTTAGTAATATTTAACGGAGGCAGTAGTTATCAAGATGTGTCCAAGATTGCTGGACGATATACAGATAATGTTAAAGATGCATCAATGGTTATTAATAGTTACCTTCGAAAAAATGAATTTATTGTATTTGATCTTACTAGGTCAGAGGATGATCCTCTAGCAATTCGGTTAAGGTTCGATACTCCATTAGATTTGCAAAAGGAAATAGAATTGCGTCAAAAGAAAAAATAGCAATGGACGTGTCATCCATGTCACTGTCACAGTAATGGAGCGCGATTTCTTTTATTGATTAAATCATAATAATATTTATTAGCAGAAATAAAATACATCCTACT